CCGAGGTGGATGCGGAAAGTGCCTACTTCCACGTTAGACATACAAAACTATCTTGTTAAAATCCTGAGATAAGCCTTTGATGTAATTGACTCGTGATTGCCAAATTATTTCACCTTTCGTTGACTCTATTCCGTACAGCTATAATAATAAATTGTTAATATAAGTCACACGAAAATTAAAAACAGTTTATCTATCGTTCAAGTTTGATATAACAGTTTCACTTTCCCTGACGATGTAACAGCTACAATCACTTTATGTAAACCAAATTTATCACGAACTAAATCGGCTCGTTGATTTGATTACTGTGGTTCAAAGCCCAAAGTTCCTTGCATGAAAACGTTTATCTGGTTGGCTTCTAAAAGAGAAGATAAATCAACAATTTAGATATTAACAACTCAAAAGAATACTGCAATAATTTAAAAATTAAAGCCTAGCGAACGCAATACATCAGTTTATTTAGTCAGTTCAACGTTTGACAAAACTAAAACAATTAAATAAATTAAACTAATAAAAAATCTATTTGTAAAGAGTTAACACGCTAAGAAAATATTGTTATCTAATAATAATTCAACAATATAGTTGATTTTATATTGATACTTAAATGCCTGAAAATAATATTTTCAAACGCTTAATAAACACTAGAACCCTCATGCTGACGAAAAATTTAAGACAAAAATTTCAAATTTTTAAAATCATGCTTTCATAAAAAAATCATAATGAAAAATCAAACTCCACACTTAAATATTGATGTCGCCTATACGTATATGCTACTTACATGAACTATTAACATCATGACCGGACAGTAACCATTCGTAAAAGAAAGTTAGTTAATATATTGATTTGTTGAATTAGAATAAGATGTACTTGAAACTCAAAATTGACGGAATTTCATTGAACTGTTAAGTAAAACAATTAAAATTATATTGATCGTGCTTGATCACGATCTGACATTGGTAACTTAACAATTTCAACGGTTACAATATTTGTGAGATAGATTCCTCTCTAGTCTAGATGATATTTTGTTGGACTAAACTGACAGTATATTGTCCTCAGAGGAGAGTAAAAATCTACACGTTTTCCTTCTTGACACTTGTTGTGATTGACAAGAACAATCGGCTGCAACGATCGCAGGCTTAAATAGTGAACTATTTGTTACATATGCTAATTTTTCAGATTGAGCTTCATTTATGCTAAGTTCAGTTATGGTAATTCTTGTAATCTAAAAACAAATTTCATTTATTTTAAAATATGTAATATTTATTGGAATCAAATATGTAAATATTTCTTGCATCGCTAGATTCGTATATTAATCTCTTATATTCACCTTTTGATATGATGACTCTAATACTACTTTTTTGCTATGTAAATTAGTAACATACAAAAAGTCTCTCCATCTATACCTCGTGAAATAATTTTAGGGCTTTTCTCAAATAATACCACGCGCTTTCTGTTATTACTGCCGGCTCTAATAGATATTGCAGATATGTTTCCTGGAAGTATAGTGTAAACTTGTAAGGTCCTTGAGCATCTGCGCCAAATATAGTGTTAATTGTTATTGACTGAGGCTCCGATTTAGGTTCAAATATATTGATATAAAACAATAGTGCTAAATTGTTGTCACCTTTCAAGCAAACATAATTTGATGCTGCTCAAATACACCTGTAATAAGTTATCTCCATAAATAAAAAACTCTATTTTAAAATAATTAAGATAATTTTGATACAAAATATTTACTCGGCTTCTTGAGATATGAAAGGTGCAGAAATTTTCTTATTTTTCAATTTTTCTCCAGTTTTACTATGATATGAGGTGACCTTAAAACCATTATTATAAATTGGTAGAATGTGATGTAAGGTTCCATCCTTCATGTACCATTAAACATCTTCAATTCTGCAAACATTACAACAGTATTACTTGATTGAATTGCCTATGAAAATACACATAAAATGCATTTCATATTTTATCGAACATGTAACATAAACAAATTCTATCAATATCTCATTACAAGATATTGAAAAAATATAGATTTATGAAAAATTTTGTGTATCATACAATTTATGATTGTAAATTTAATAGTGTACAGCAAAAAAATTGACAAAGTAAAACCTTTCACTATTGTAAAGCCCTGCTGTAGAATATGATATAAATGGAGAATCAATTCTGAAATAGACACTACAAAATTTAAATATGTATAAAAGTGATTTTTAATACTTTTATATTGGATTATAAAATATTTAAATTCATGTAGCATTGAACTCATTAGTTGTCATATCTATTATCATTAGTCGAAGAGCAGATTAATAAAAACTAGTTTGAAATTATAAATTGAGTGAATTATGAGAAAAAATAATACCTGTCTCGATTTTGTTCTGTTAATGTCCATTCATTTATTATATTACTGGACATATGTCCAGTAGCTAAATTGCAATAACGGACTAAAGCTGAAACACCACCATTCACTGAAATCAATTCTCCACTTGTAACATTACTAAATGCTTGTATGCGACCAGCACATCCTTTTTCTAGTATTCTCCTCCATAATAGTTGTCCGACATTAAGATACATATGTCAATTTTCAATTTATTCTAACAAACATTATTCAAATTATTAAATTTGAATATAAAAATATCTATTTTAACACTTTAAAGCTGCAATTACATTTTCTTCAGTTGTAACAACTACTTTTTTAGTCATTGAAACCGTATCAAAACTAGCAAACTTTATTTTTCCTACATAATTTTGTCTCCTGGAATAAAAATGAATGATGAAATATTTTTTATTGAAATTAGTAAGATTATTCATCAAATTATGAATAGGTTTTAATAAAACTAATTCAAAACATTTTAATTAAATGCACTACATAATCAATATAGCTATATAAGGGGTATATAGCTATATTTTTATTCGATATTAAATACTAGTATTTCCTACAATATTAAATAAATAAATTTTACGGTATGAAATGTGTATTATTGACAAGGACATTTATACGAGTACATATCAAAAACAGACATTTCGTAAAAATTCCATTTTTAGACCCCATATATCCTTAAGCAAACAAGTATTTTTCGGTAAAAAAATATTTTTATCGAAACAAAGCTTCCTCTACGTGGAAGCAAGATATGGAAAGTTTCCTACTTGGTCTATCAATACTTACTGCAAATTAAATCTTACTCGGATGAACTGAAAATCTTATAACTTGATAATAAATTGCCATTTCCAACATTCACATGCCTACGATACAATTAATGTAGAATAAAGGCGTAAAATTGTATTCGATTAATAGAAGAAAAGTGAAATAAATTAAACGAAACGACGTCTATGGATATACAAAGTAACTGTCGCCTTACGGCCATTATGTTGAGGAGCTATGGCACGGCGAGACTAATCAGGACTACCTGCGAAAAGTCACGATGAACCTTTCGACTCCTTCTCTCTTCTCTGCTAGTTATACTGTGTAGGCTACCCGGTCTTTACCTGATCTTAATGTCTTGAATGCTTCCTTAATTACGGTCTCGCAGTCATTTGGCTTCTTCGTCCAAACATTAACTCGGATTATTTGCAAAGACGCTCTGATATTTTTAGGACACCTTGGTAATTTATTGCTTTACAGACGAGACGGCGTCAGGCCTTCCCCATGTTGAGACCGACAAAAAGCCGGAAATTATCTGTGACATAAAATTTGTATTTCGTATGTTCGGGCATGTCACTGTAAAACGAAGTTATGCTCATTGCACAGCACATATGTTGGCGAGCTCATCCCCTTTTATCATCGGTTGCGTGAAGTATAACTTTGCTAGTGATCGCGAACGAATGGAGCCTAAGTCGGGTTTTCTCGGGAAATCCACATTTCCCAACAAATTCATTCACCAAAAACAGATGAGAAGATCGTTTGAGACTCGGAACGTTGCAGATTTTTCCAGAATGAAAATGATGCTGTGGCGATGCAGATGTAGTGCTCGTTTGCTTAACCAGAGGAACAATGCGTTATCCTTACAATTATAAGCGTATATACTAAATAAGTACATTTATTTTCACAAAACGACGGACAAATAAGGAATACTTTTCAAATTCGCGAAACTCGACTATGAAGTCACTCATATATTATACTCATCATTACCGCAGATCATGGTTATATTCTCCAGTGATAATAGCCTGTCATGCTGAAAGAAAAATTGACTTCTGAGTAGTTCGTAGAACGCTTTTCATAGATTCTTTACAGTGTTTCTATTTTCATACCATTTTGGCATTTACATCAGTGTGGCACCCCATATCTGCGATTGGCAATCACTCGGTATTCGAAGCTTGAAATAATGACAATGATCTGTTTTTTATGAGTAAAAGTGACTTCATAGTCGTGTTTCACGAACTTGAAATATATTCCTTATTTGCCCGTCGACTTTCTTCGGCAATGCTGTGGAAATAAATGTACTTATATAGTACGCTTATAATTGACATAAATATCAGAGCACCTTTGCAAATAATCCGAGTTAATGTCTGGAGCAACCAAGAGGCAAACTGATTTTGCGAGACCGTAATTAAGGAAGCATTCAAGGCAGTGAGATCGGGTCGGTATCGGGTAGCCAACACAGTGCAACTTGCAGAGAACAGAGAACGAGTCGAAAGATTCATCGTGACTTTCCGCAGGTAGTCTTGGTTAGACGCGCCGTGCCATTGCTAGTAAAGCACATGGCCATTAAACGGTAATTAGGAGCCGTACTTGGGAAGGTCCCAGATACTCCGATTGGCGGAGCCTGCACACGATTGGCCGAGGGAGAGAGAATCTGTGGAGTGAGAGTACTCTCGGCACTGTATAAATGGGACGCATCGGACGGGCAGGCGATAGACAGTTGACTAGATCGAAGGCCAGCCGAGCCAAGGGGTTGTTCCGATTCTCGCTTCCAGTCCAGTATTTGCTTCGCTTTTGGATTTCGACGATTCCCAACTACAATCGCACACAAGGTAATTTAATTCTGATCGAATTTTCTTTGCTCTACACTATGCCTTCCTCCGCGGTCTGTCGAGCTAACGATAAGATGTCAACCTTTCAGATGTCTCCGTATTCCGTCAAGTTCGTGTTGTTTTCGGCGATTCGCAGGAATGACGTCGAAGCCGTGCGAACACTGGTTTCGCGGCATCGCCTGCACTTGACTGCCGACAACGTGGATTACCAGGCTCTTCGTAAGGCCATCAAGTACGACCGCGTCGAGATCGCCAACCTGCTGGTGGAGAGCGGCTGCCGCGTCTGTGTGCCGTATGAGCAGGACAACTCTCCACTACACCTCGCCGTGATAAGGCCGAAGTTCGAAGCGCTGGTCGTTGAACTGCTTCAGAAGGACGCAAACCTTAGTCAGAGGAACCGTCGCGACGAGACGCCGATTCAAAAGGCGTTCCATGAAGGGGCGTCTTGCTTGGTGATACAGATTTTATTCGACGTCTACCTAGCGGAGAGCTGTCTAAACGAAAAGGACGAGGAAGGATTTTCCTACTTGCACATAGCTTGCGCCACGTCTGACCTGGAAACGGTCACTAATTTCGTGGAGAAAGGTGGCGCAGATATACACCAGCGGGTAAGTTTGCTTTCCGTTCATTTGGTCTTTTATATTTCTAGTACTGTTCTTTCTGCTACGCGTCAAATGCTAAACTTATCCGATGAACGAGTTTTTGATACCACTTTTTAGCAAATGAATTTCCGTGCATAATTAATTACAAAACAATTTTACAGGTCAAAGACGACGGCTACTCGCAGTATGCAGGCAGAACGCCGCTGCACATGGCAGCTGAGTTCGGACATACCGAGGTAATTCTTTACCTCCTAGAAAATGGCGCCAAGATTTATAGAGAAGATGCAGATGGATCAACCCCTCTGCAGCTAGCCGTAGAACGAGGGGATCGAGACATCGTTGACTTGATGTCGAACTACGACGAGCAGCATCCTAATGGCTAGAATAAAAAACACGTTGCACGTTGCGTAGAATAAAAAAAAGTTGCACGAATGGTTTCTAAATGTATTTTATTCCAACTCTATTCTTGTGAGCCTTTTAATTAGGGAAGCCTTTGGAAAACTAATTTCACAATTAATCCTATAAGTATATTTATGTAAATAAAAATATGGACAATGTTGCTACTTAATTTGACACTTTTAATAACGCAATAACCGTAAATTAAATTTCATACAGAATAATTCTTAATAATTTAAAAAAAATAAATCTTCTAATGATAAAAGACTTAATAATCATTTGTTGTTTCCAAAAATAACATACCTGCGATCAATTGAAAGTAGTAAAAAGAATACGTCATTTTGTTTGAGCGATGTAATAAAGTTAAAAATGTAGAACAAACCGACGTCTGGAACTTTGCCAAGTAAGCTGTCGAACTGTTGTTTTACAAAATTTTTTATTTATACGTAATAAATATATATAAAGCGTTAAAAACCATTACACACTTTTCATTTACTTCATGAGAATTGGAGAGAATAATTTGTAATTCTAATTGATTTTATTTGCTTAATAGCCATGTATGCGTTCTTTCGCAAAATCAGGAGAACTGTTCAAAGCTCTGTAGAGAGAGAAAATGAAGATTAAAACTATTGATTAGGATGTTAAATATATTTTAATGCGACTATATGAAAATGTCTGTTGAAATGACCGTCAGAAATATCTCGAAATCGTGGAAGCTTATAAAGCTTGAAATAGTGTTGGAAAGACCGTAAAAAGAAAGGCTTCGGAGACGAATGATATTTGTACTCATTTTGAAAAACTGGAGACAACAAGTTCTAGAAATTTTTTCAAATAGTAGTCATTTTTTATCAATAATTACCGCTAGTTGTTAAGATCACACTCCTCTGCAGAATACATGGTAGAGCGGAACTCTGACTTAGCCTTTATCGTAGATCTACCCATGTATCAAATACCTACATATTTTGTACATAACACATACAAATTATGGACGCTCATGAAAGATTCCTGCAGGGTTTAAAAATTGGCATCATTAAAAAGGAGCATGAGCCTCGTGAATTGAGAGAGACAGAAAAGCGACCGCCGAGACGAGAAGCCAGAGGGTGAACATCGCATGGCTACCCCCTCCAGGCTGGAGTAGGGCCCCTTCTCTATTGGCTATTGGCTGGATCGGAGTCGTGTAGTTTAGAGGTAGCTCCCATGGAACTATAATTCCTATTCATTTTATCTGAAGCAAGCAGCAGTAACGTGCCTCTGATACCTCAAAGCGTCATTGGTACTTTGACTTTCGAGTGCTACGTACTTCCTAAGTGGTTCGTGCCTCCGGTCACCAGCATATAGTGGCAGAGATAATGGCCAATCAGCCCCGAATGATATCGCCGAGATTTAGAATAGAGATTTTAGAATGTATTTTTTTTTTTTTTGTAGGATTAGATTTTTAAGCGTATCGTGACTCGAGCTTCCGAGCTGTCGATTTTTATGTAACTTTTAGCTTAATGTTTTGTAAATGACAAGCGATTTAGTGCTCATTGACATGTCTCGATATCTTGTCCGGATCTGCGCAGATTTTTGTACATATAGACAATAAACTGTATTTTCATTTTTTATAATTAATATGAAATATACGTCTGTAATCCGACTTTCCTTGTTGTAATTTAAACTTCAAAAACACCCCTTCTGCGAATATCTCTGCCAAGGATGACGTCCAACGAATCTCAATATTCGTTTTTGTAACACAGATAACACAGCATGCCGGCACTGTTCGGCACGCGCGTGCTCGTCACGGCGTGCCGTCATAATGCAGGTACAGTGGGAGCACGAAAAGCGACGCACGCCGTGCCGTCAGAATGCGGGCATAATGCAAGTCTCAAGTGCAGCATGCCGTGCCGTTAGAATGCTGTCATTCTGCGGTCACGCAAAAAAATAAAATTCGAATAGGCATTACGACGTGGGTTGATTGTTTTTAATAAAATAAATAATTTATTTGACAATAAAAATATATTAAATATATATCTCTGTCTTTATTTCTATGTAATAATTTCTTTTATTGTATACAAAATACAAATTTGAATATCCATACATATACGTTCGATTGTCATCGATTAATAACGATTTTTTTGAAAATCGTTCTCTTAAAACGTTTAACGTTTTTTACCAGTAATTGTGATTGCTTTTAAAGTAATTAAAAATACTAATTGTGACTGCTATTAAACCGTAAAATTATTGTGAGAGTGTTCCTTGTGTAGTGGAGTCGCAGTTGAAAGAAAAGTAAGTAAATATAAAAATTATTAACATTTTTCTTAAAAATTGTACTAGAGGATAAAATAATTATTTAAATTGTGATAACTGTGATATATGAAATATTAGTATTTGTATCGAATAATTAAATAGTACAAAATAGTTTATAAAATAAGTAAGTAAAATAAGGTAAAAAATGAAATTGTTTTTCTATAGTTTAGATTTTTCATTATTAAATGCATACTCAGGCTAATCGAAGTTTGATATAGTTTTGCTACAATCATGGTGAAAAAGTACATATGGTTTTGTAAACTTGTGCATTGAAGACTAGTACATTCAAGACTGTCATTGTAAATAAAAGTAGAAATTTTATTTGTGATTACAAAGAACAAATTACCAGATGTTAGTGTTTGTATCAAAAATAAAACACAATCCACGACAATAAAGTGATTTACAATTTTGATAAAGTTATCATAGCTTAATTATTATAGCAATCATATACTACGGTATTACTCTATAAGCAACAAGATATCATAAATAATATTATTGTAAGTTACTTTTTTATCATGCATTGTAGTTTGGTTTTCATAATAGTAACAAAATCTGGTAATTCATCTTTATAATCACAACCAATATTATTACTGTTATTTGCAATGTCAGTATTGAATGTGTTAATATTTAAGGCACGAGTTTATAAAACCATGTTTACTATTTATATATAGTTTTGCTGCTCATTGCAATAATAAATCACATCTGTTGAAATTCTATAATCACAATAAGAAAGTAAATATGGTTTTGCACACTGGTGCATTCAATACTAGCACATGAAATACTGTTATTTACAATGACAATATTGTAAATAACAGTAGCATTTTTAGTTTTGACTATGACAACAAATCAGCAGATGTTGATGTAAGTCTCAAAAACAAACCACAATTCATGTAAAATAGTATACCTGATAATTAATTCTTTTCTCTCTAGTAAACATGTTTTCTTCTCTTTTATCGATGAGCCATTTAGAATTTTCACATTGTACATACTCTTTGATCTCAATTAGTCTGAAATTTTGCTGATATAATTCTGCATTTAAAAACCTAGCTATCTCTCTTAAATTGCCAATTGTTGCACTCATACCAATTATTTGAATATTTCCTGTTTAAAAATAATATATAACTTAAGTTTTGTAAAGATAAAATTTTTAAAATTGATAAAATGCAATATCTGTTCAAAAATATTGATACAACTCTTACGTTCAGAGAATATTACTTTTGTTAATAAACATTCCAAAGTAGCTCCTCTTCCACCGTTTTCTCCTAATAAGTGTAACTCATCAACTACAATAATTCCCAACTAAAAGACATAAGACATCTTAAGTATAGTAATAGAAAAAATTATTAAAAATTAATTTGACTCACCTCATCTAGTCGATTCAGTTCAATAAAATAATTTATAATTGTTTCTGCTTTTTCTATTGTACACATGTATAACGAATTTTTTTTTCTTCTTTTCCTTGGTGGGTAATGACCTTTTTCCGCTTTAATGAGAAAATTGAGTTCTAAGGCAAAAGGTGTCATTGATTGAATCTAAAATAAATAAACTATATAAAGACATGCATATAGATAATTGAACAAACTGTAGAAATTTTTACTTTTTCTTGGACTAATGCTACAAATGGAAGAATAAACATTGCATTTTTCTTTCTACACACAATTTCTTTAAGCATTAATTGCCACAAGAGTTTTACCACCACTTGTTGGTAAAGCATAAATGAGATTCTTTCTTTCACCTATTGTACTCATGTTTAGACATTTTTCCTGCTAATCTAAAAGAAATAATTACACATATAAAAAATTTTTTATTATAATCATTCATAAAATATTAAAGTTTAATATACATATTAATACACATAAAATGTTAAAGTTAAAATATACATACCATAAAGTTTGTCTATTCCTTTGTAATTTCTAATAAGATTCTTTACTTTATCAGGCAACCCAAAAAACAATTTTGAAGTAACATCATTCTTACTTAAATCTATGTCTTCTTTTAACTAAATTTTATTGATTTATATGTGTTAGAAATAATTTTTTCTTTAATAAATTAACAGAGTTGTTCAAATCAGCAGTAATGTTCCGACTCAAAATATCAGAACAATTACTACAAATACAGAATCGCTTTAAACGCTCCAAAACAAGGCCTCAACGTCCAGCCTGCCTCCCTTTTAAGACTGTTACTGACATGTGAAATTTTGAAGATGCCAGCGACAGCGTCTACGACGAAATCGTATGTGCAAATATGAACCAGTTGTCTGTTTACACAATTAATATTATCATTCTTACTTCTACTAATTTACAGGTTGCTTATTTCCGTTATTTGGGCTGATTTAATATCCAGGATTGTATCTCAAAATATTTATTGGAGGCCATTGATATAAACGAAAATATAGTTAATGGCATAATTTACAAAGGAAAGGGGCCTAATCAGCTAACGTTGAAGGGAACAATGTTCGTTAACGCCTGTCAAGGTAAGTATAATCAAATCCTATTTGTTTTAATGTTGAAATTATTATTTTACGTATATATACATGTTTTTAATACGCAATTAGCGTGAAGTTATAGAACCTTATTTGCACAATATTTTTACAGATGGTTTAAATGAGAACGCCCATTTTATTATGCCCACTGAAGCAATCGTTGACTTGACGTTTACTAAGACCTTGAAGAGTCTAAAAGAACGATTACGACGGAAGCTG